TCAATATAGAAAATCCAACAAGGGATTTCTTTCGATGTCACATGGTGTCTATTTCTCTAAGAATATGTATCCTAAAACACATGATGAGAGAGATATAATGAAAAGGATCTCATATGCGTCAACAATTGGATCCATCATGTATGCAATGTTGTGTACTCATATTGATGTCTCATGTGCGTTAAGCACTTGTAGTAGATATCAATTAGATCTAGGTGAATGTCACTAGATAGCTGTCAAGAACATCCTAAAGTACCTGAAAAGGACTAAGGATATGGTCTTGGTTAATGGAGGGGAAGATGAGCTCACTGTAAGAGGATACAGTGATACTAGTTTCCAAACGGATAAAGATAATTATTGCTCAAAATCTGGGTTTGTATTTTGTCTCAATCGGGGTGCAGTAAGCTGGAAGAGCTCTAAGCAAAGCATTGTAGCAAACTCCATAATAGAAGCTGAGTATATTGCATTATCCAATGCGGCCAAAGAGGCTGTTTGGATTAAGAAGTTCATCAGCAAACTTGGTGTGGTCTCCAAGATTGTTGATCCAATGGATGTCTATTATGACAAGAATGGAGTAATAGCTCAAGCAAGGGAACCACGGTCTCACCAGAAGTCCAAACACATACTCAGACAATTTCATCTCATCAAAGAAACGGTTGAGAGGAAATATGTGCAGATTATTAAAGTACATACTGATGACAATCTCGCCGATCCACTGACGAAGCCTCTGTCACAACAGAAGCATGAAAAGCACTTAAGGTCATTCGGTATTAAATACATGAATTGGCTATAGTGCAAGTGGGAGATTGTTACAGTAGGTGCCCTAGAGCCAATCAATTATTGTAGAATTGACTCTTTGTAATAATGTTTATTTATCAATAAAAGGCATTTTCTTCTATATCGTGTAAATCATAATTGTATGTATTGATATATGTCCTTAGGATGGTAGAACCATGACAAGGGTATCAAGTATTCAAATCTTGATAGTGAGAACCCTATGATCACATATGGTGGCCATTCTAAAAATGTTCGTAGCCTTAGTATTTTTTTGACCAAGGACACAGATAATATGGTAAGGCTATCATAATGTTGAACGACTCTGTCGTAAGATAGTGATTAATCTCACTTGTCAAGGTTGTTTGTCGACAACTTGGTGCAACACATGGGTACTTGCTGTAGGCAAGTGTACTGGATAGACCCACCAAATGATTCCATATGGATGGCAACTCCAGTGTCTATGGAATAAATCCTCAAATGAATGGTGGTGCATGTGATCCTTAGACTTTAGATCACCAAAGCGTCTTGTGCACCAATTGGTGTAATTTGACACTAGCCTAACGTAGTTCTATTCACAGCTATTAGAAAAATAGTGACTGGCTACATTGAGAAGTGTATCAAGACTATAGTGGATCAACAAAGGATTCATCACTGTCGGGCATGAGAGAAGTTATCTCATTACACAATTCAATAAATGGCAATGACACCAAATCTGTGGCCACATGGGATTCAGTTGTTGCTCAATCCAATTTATTATTCCAGTTATTGGTCTAGTAACCAAATACAAAGATATCGAGAATATCTAAGGTTGACACTATTTTTGTACCTTAGCCTTGATGGGATAACAGATGATGAAAGGATTTGATTGCACGATAACCATATTGTTGATAGGTAGCTATTTCGCTGAATCAGAATCTATCGATGGTCATGATGCCTTACTAGGGGTCAATCTTGATTTGTGTGTAGTGAGACAATTGATTGGTGTCAATCGTGATACTACTCATTGCCGATATGATAAGGAGCATACGAGTCACACACTTGGAAAATAATTTAAGGATCAAAATGTGAAAGGGGTATTTTCGTCTTAAAAGACGAAAGGATATTTTGGTAATCTCACAAAGCAATTAAATTTACTGAGGTTGTTGCATGTATTCAATTTTAATATTGAAATTAAGATTAGTAAGATTATATTTAAATGTATGTGCGCATATATTTAAATTGATTACTGTTATTATTTAAAGTTAATATATTAATTGATTTTAATTAATTAAAAATACCAATGTGGGTTGTTTGGTTGCAAGGATGGATTTATATGAGAATCCATGGCTACTCCTAATAGGATTAGGGTTTTAATTAGTTGCACTATATAAGTGTAGCTTAAAACAAAACAAAACAAATAAATAATAGAACTCAAAAACAAAAGAGAGATACACAAATTGAAACAGAATGCAACTCTTAGAAATTATCAATGAACAATACTTAAGGAAAAATACTAAATGTTCAAAAGAGAAACAAGGTTAAGAGGTAAAAAAATTCAATATGGTTGTTTTTTGTTTTGTCCAAATTGAACAACTCATATAATCCATGTAAGCTTTTGCTTTTAAACTCTTTGTGATGCATAATTTCTGGTTTTTCATGAATCTTATTAAGCTAGAAATGGAGGAAAAAGCTTAGATGCAATCCACTTCAATATGGTTGGTTTACATTGCAATCGAACGTCTCGTGTAATGAATATAAGCTTTTATCACATGTAATCATGGACTCCTGTGATCCTGATTATCCTATAAGAGAAATGCTAGCCTTACAAAGATGCATACAAAGAGGGGCATACAAAGACAAATCCTACTCTTAATCTTCATGATTGTCTTTCTCTCTCTCTCTTTTTCCCTTCTTTCAAGGGTAGGATTTATCTTTGTATGCTCTTATTTGTATGCATCTTTGTAAGACTAGCATTCCTCATCCTTTAAATGGAGAAACAAGGTTAAAAGACAATATACTTCAAAGCACATTGTGACACATAATGGTAAACTCTTGCGATTTCAATGAAACTAGAAATCAAGGAATAAGCTTAAGACATAATTGATAAGTGTTCAATAATTGATATTTTCAATTCCTTTATATCAATTTTTGCAATATATTTTGTGATTAATTGAGCTGATTAATATATTTTTTGAATTAGGAAAGGAATGGAGGCATGCAAATGAAAGTAGAGCATAATGTGCAGTTTTTAGACATTGGCAAATTCGACCTTTGAAGGTTCAGTGGAGACTTTGACAATCTTAGAGTTCCAGAATGAGAAAGAGGTCTTCTTGATATTTGAAGTAGACGTCCTGATATTTCTAAATTGGGCTTATGTGTTTTAGTCCGAGTAGATTTGTGTATTCAAATTTTACATCGAAGTCTGAAGATCCAATCTCTTCACAACTTGGACACGGGTCAGTAATTAGGCTATAACTTGGTTCTAGAAGTCCAATTGAGATGCTTGAAGATGAGTTGGAAATCTTATAACCAGGGCTATAACTTTCATGAAGAGCCCAGGCCCAAATTCAGTTGTTTCTTGACCCGAAATCAACTCACAAGTTCCAGGAGAAAACTAGTCATCCTATTTTGAGTAGGACTCAATGCCTACAATTTAGGCATTTGAGTTGTAAAATTTTTGGGAGGTTTTTACACACGTTTTTAGGGTTATTTGAAGGGGCTATAAAGAGAACATTAGGTTTTGAGAAAAAAAAAAGACACACACAAAGAGATTTATTCAGAAACACTTGTTCTCAATTTACTATGTTTGGCTAAACTCTTTCAATTCAGTTAGAGAGGATTTCAATTCCTAACACATATCGATGGTATAATTGATAAAGTAATGTTATTTCTTACCTTTCTATGGATTTAATTTACATTATTTTGTTTTAATGGAATATGATATTTTATTCGTTTAATTTACTTCAGGCCTGGTAGATTAATTGAGTTGATATCGATTGCTAGAATTATGGATTGTGTTACGTAATCGATCTATTCCTAATCATGTAGTAGCAATTAGTAATAAAAGATTGTGGACAAACTTTCTATTTTATTACTTGAATAACAAAACCTAAGTTAGATCATCCGAGCTTGTGAGATTGTTGCTTAGATTAACCTATTCCATTGGAACTTAAAGCAACCATTACATTAAATCTAGAGAGCTCGTTCTAGGTTGTCGACCCTTACTCATGCTATCTACTAGTTAATAATTAGAAGTAAGGTTTATTAATTTTGTAGTGTTGACGACATGCTGTCAAAATTTGGCATCGTTGCCGGGGAAGTGGTTTTGTGTGAAGTTTTATTCCAATTGTCTCCATAGTTATAGTCATTTAATAATAGTGTTGGTCTATTTGTTTTTAACTTCGTTTGAGGAGAATTTTGATTTTCAGGATTTCAGAAAATTTCGCTAGTACTATTCATTGCAGAATTTTCGGTGGAATTAGGAGTGCTGCGAGTACTTGTTTCGAAGAAAACGAAATTCTAAATAGGACTAGTAATTCACTAAGGATTCACTGGCCCCACCCTCTCAAGGCCAAAAAACAACGTTTGATAGGGTTTTTGGCCATTTTTGTGTTTCTGGCCATTAAAAAAAAAAAAAAAATTAGATTTTCTAGTTGGTTTTCATTCGGTCATTTTTTTTTTTATTTTTTTTTCCTTTAATGTGATTTTTTAGTTTATGACTAGGTCCTCTCATCTTGGTGACTTAACATTCAATCTAGAGATTCACGTAGGTTGAGGAAAAAAGCTCGACAGAATTAAGAGCAAGCTATTTTTTCATCGCCTAGCATCAACCTAGCCCTTTATTTAGCATCTAGTAGTTCCTTTAGCAATTCAGAAGAAAAGGAAATCATGGCTACAAATAGCATGAGCTTATTGCTCCCGCTTTTAATGTACAGCCATTATGCAAAGAATATCTTGCGTTAGATGTAGCTTTTGAGCTTAAATTTGGACTAATTCATTTACTGCCTAAATTTAGAGGTTTTGCAGGTGAGGATCTGAACAAGCACCTAAAGGAATTTCATGTTGTATGCTAGAGTATGAGATCGACTGGAGTATCAGAAGAGTAGATTAATTTAAGAGCTTTTCCATTTTCTTTGGCAAATGATGCAAAGGATTGGCTCTACTATTTACCATCAGGGTCAATCACAACATGGAATGAGATGAAAAGGATGTTCTTAGAGAGGTATTTCCTAGCTTCCAAGGCTGCGAACATAAGGAAAGAGATTTATGGCACTCATTAATATACTGGAGAGACTTTGTACAAATATTGGGAAAGATTCAAGAAGTTGTGTGCAAGTTGTCCTCATCATCAGATAAGTGAACAACTACTAATTTAGTACTTTTATGAAGGTCTACTTCCCATAGACAAAAGCATGATAGAAGCTACCAGTGGAGGAGCATTGGTTGATAAGACACAGGAAGCTGTCAGAAATTTAATTTCCAACATGGTAGCAAACACTCAGCAATTTGGAAGTAGACAAGATGCTCCTACCAGAAAAGTAAATGAGGTAAGTACATCTTCTCTTGAACAACAAATATCTGACCTTACTTCTTTGGTTTGATAGATGGCTGTGGGAAATGTGCAACAAGCTAAGGCATGCAAAAAATGTGCAACATTGGGGCATCCAACCGATATGTGTCCCGTTTTACAAGAGGAGCAAGTGAATGTTGTAGGAGGATTTCCTGGGCAACCAAGGAAATATGATCCCTACTCTTAACACTTACAATCCAGGGTGGAGAGATCACCCCAATCTGAGGTATGAAGGAAATAGGCAGTCGGCACAAAATGCACATTAGAATAAGCTGCCTGGATTTAAGCATCCTCAACAACTATATCAACACACACAAGCAGCACCACCTAGTTCAAATTCAAGTATGTCCCTTGAAGATATGTTTAAAACTTTTTTGATTCACACTCAACAAGTTCAATAGGAGACAAAGGCGGGTATACAAAATTTGGCGAACCAAGTGAGTCAACTGGCTACTATAGTTAGTTGGCGTATCAGAATAAGCCGCCTGGATTTCAGTATCCTCAGCAGCCATATCAGCATACACAAGCACCACCACGTAGTTCAAATTCAGGTACGTCCCTTGAAGATATGTTTAAAACTTTTTTGACTCACACTCAACAATTTCAACTAGAGACAATGGCAAGTATATAAAATTTGGAGAACCAGGTAACTTAGCTGGCTACTACAATAAACAAATTTGAGGCTCAAGGCTCAGGTAAACTACCTTCTCAAACAATAGTAAATCCAAAGGAGCATGCGAGTGCTATATCTTTGAGAAGTGGAAAATAGTTAAAGGTATTATCTATGAAGAAAGCGTTTGATGTAGTCATTGAGGAGGAAATAGAGAAGGAGGGAGAAATGTCTTCACCTAAGGTAACTTCTTATCCTTTTATTGTAATTAAAGGTAACCCCCTTCCTTTTCCATCTAGGTGTGTAAAGTCCAAGAAGGAGAACCAAAAGAAGGAAATTCTTGAGACGTCCCGCAAGGTAGAGGTAAATATACCTTTACTAGATGCAATCAAGTAAGTGCCAAGGTACACGAAATTTCTTAAAGAATTGTGCACAAATAAGCAGAAGTTAAGGGATGATGAGAAGGTAAGTGTGGGGGAGAATGTGTCAATAGTTCTTCAAAGGAAGCTGCTCCCTAAGTGTAAAGATCCAGGTATGTTCACCATTCCATACAGAATAGGCCATACCAAATTTGAAAGGGCCATGCTAGATTTAGGAGCATCTATTAATGTCATGCCAAAATCTATTTATGCTTCCTTAAATTTAGGACCATTGAAAATACTGGTGTTATTATACCATTGGCTTATCATACTAATGCTTACCTTGAAGGGGTGATTAAGGATGTGTTAGTGCAAGTAAATGAGTTAGAATTTCCTACAGATTTTTATATTGTAGATATGGATGATGATAATTCCCTAACCCTGCACCTATATTATTGGGGAGACCACTTTTGAAAACAACATGAACTATGATTGATGTGCACAAGGGTACCTTAACAATAGAGTTTGATGGTTGATGAACAATTTTATAACCTCGCAAGTGCACGAGTCGCTCTCGTAGTTTAGTGTGCAAAAGCAAGGTTCGAGCCCACAAAGATTTGTAAGCAATTTACTAATCCTAATAACTATGCTTAAATTAAAACTAATAACTAGAATTAATAATGAAGAATTAAGGAATGTCACTTTAAATGCAACAACTGAATAAAACTAAAATTCAACAACTACTAAAATTATCTAAAACACAATTGACCAAAACCTAGGGCTCCAATTTCACAATAATTATCCAGCTCTATGTCAAACATCTCTCTATTGTTTATCAATTCAGTCTCTAGGGTTCACATTCACTAAATCAAGGTATTACTGTAAGGCGTTCGGGATTAACCTAGTATTTTTAACACAAGACTAGCTAGGGCGTATAGTCTAGCCTATGAATTAAAAGCCCATTGAACACATGAATACTCGAAATCAAGAACAAAGGCGCATCTGTCAGGGCATATATATGCACAAACACTAATTATTCAAGAACTCATGAATGTATTAATACTCTGTCAGGGCGTATGCACAAAGCACTAATAATTCATTCACATGAGTTCTTCAAGACTAAAACATAATATATGTCTAATCTCAACACATACAACCTAATAATTCACACTAACTGTTGTCACACAATAATGAAAATTAAAGATTTGAATAATAACATGAATGAATCAAGATTCAAATTGAACTGATAGCAATAACATTTGTTTAACAAAGAGTCCTCCAATTAGGCTACATTGGATCCCTAGATAAGAATTTAGTTACAAATTGACATCAAGAAAATAAGCCTTAATCCCCCCCAAAGCATGAAAAATCCAAAACCCTAGGAAGAATCTTCTTCTCTCTCTAGCCACAAAGTGTCTCAATTTAATTAGGTTAAGAATAATCCCTAAAATAAATTACAAAGTCTTATTTATACTTTTCCTTTGCTAGGGATGTTTTTGGGAAAATACAAGTTCAAGTCAAAATTGGAAAAGGGTGAAGTTTTTCTTTTTCTCGTGATATGTGCCGCAGCATGATTTCTTGGCACCACGACGCCAACTTCTTCCATAGACTTCAATTTCTCTTGCGCCGTGGCATGATCTTTCTACCCAATCTTCCTCTTTTGAGCTGTGGCATGGAAAATCTCTGTCGCGGCGCCAGCCCATTGATTCGCATTTTTCTTCCTCTTAATGACCTGATTTCTCTTCCTTAGCACATCGAAGACCTCCAACCATCATGCGTGCATACAATCATCCCTTTTCCACCTAAAAACCTAAAACTCATGCACATACATGTGATTCTTGAAAATAAAAATATATAAAGAAATTTGCATAAAAGTAATCCTTAAAGTCAATAAATTTCATCCAATCTACCCTTAGAATCACATAATATAAATACAACTTCACCACTCATCGCAACCCCCAACTAGCATTTTTCTAGTCTCTAGCAATCAAAGCGATCGACAATAACCTGACCCTATTATAACGACTTTAAACAAAACCACTTCTGTAGGTTGACACAATTGCATTTAGCGTATGCAATAAGCCTTTAAACCCCTTGGTCCCCTAGTGGACGAGTTATAGTCTCGTGAGGGTTTACAGCGATGCCACCCACAAACATGCTACAAGTTCTACCAAGACTTGTAACTACTAAACTAACAATTCTGGATCAATACATTAAAGAGTCTCAAAAATTTCATACACATTAGGTAGTAAAAATAACCAAACGTTACTTTACTTCTAAGAACATCCTAACGTCAATCTCACTTCATTATCAACTCTCTACCTTTCAACAGTCCACAATCCGTCAATTCTAACACCAAGAATAATTACGTATGCAACATCAATAAACTAACATTGATCCCAATAAAAATGAAATAAGAGTAAAACTCTGTAGAGACAAACTCTATAGGTCTAATTTTCAAACCACTCTCCACTAATGTAGAAAATGACATAAACTTAGATCATTAGGACTTTATTAAGCTTGTAATGTTAGGCCAGGTATTGGGTTATGAAAAAAAATGGAAAGGGAATCAAACAAAATAAGAGGATTAACCAATTGGCAATAAACTCGCTCAAGGCACATCACATCCTCTCTACTCTTTCCCACCGCAATTGCATTAACATTCTTTCATTTTTTTTTTTTTTTTTTGAATCAAGATTCAATAGGGGGAATAGATATTACAATCATTCCAATTATTACCTTGATATTCACAATACACCACAACCGCCAAACCGTTCTTTTGAATAATCACTACAAGAAATATATTATATTGTGACAAAATTAATTTGTCAAATGTTATTTTGTCATGAGTAATATAGGTATTATGACAAAATAAATAAACATCACCTTAAGTATGACAGAGAGAATACACAGTGACTAAAAAAAATATTGTCATAATACTTTATTACAATAAAGAAACCCATAAGAAATATAGTGAAGAAAAACATTTTTATCATAATATTTCGTCACAAATTTTTGGTGCCAAATTTTGACACCTAGGTAAATTGTTTATTGTGACAAACATATTTTGTCATGAAACATTTTAGTCACTAGATGTAGTTATACATGCTATAACTACAAATTATTTTGTCACAAAAGAATTTATTTATTATTACAAAAAAAAATTGTCATAATATATGCTAAAATAGATGTATTAATTAGAGGTGGGCATTTGGGACTGGGTCCAAAAACCCAACCCCAAAACCCAGTCCTAGGACCGGTCTTTGAGAGGACCAGGCCTAAGGAGGAGGGCCCGGTCCCTCCACTGGGTCCTCCTCCAAGGCCCGGGCCTGGGCCAAAATTTTTTTGCACTTTTTCCTTTTAGTCCTTTGTATAATTACGTAAAACCCCTTATAAATTTTGAAATAAACATAAATTATAGGGTTTAAAATGAAATTTTATAAACTTTATTAAAAAAAAAAAATTATTTGTCAAACAGCTTGTATGCACGCGCACACCTTCACGCATGATCAAGTGATCAACAAAGCATTTATCTCTTTGTTCTTTTTTTTCTTTCGGTGTTATTAAAAATCAATTCAATTTATTTAATGGGTTTGATTTTTTAAAATTAATTGTTGGTGAAGATTAGTATTGTTACGAAATCTCAAACAATTAATGTAATCTGATTGACTTCGATAAAATCAAAATTGATGGTTGCGTGATTATAAATAATCAACAAGAAATAATTAAGAATAATAATGAAAGAAGAATTTTATTAATGTATTTATGATTACATTGAACTAATTTTTCTGTATCTTCTCCCACAGAGACAGGTT